GTACAAGAGTGTAAATGTCGTGAACGTTTAGGGTAGCCTGTAGCTCGCACGCGACATTCCCGAAACCGCGGACGATTAACATTCACGCCCAACGTGCCTAATACAAATGACACGCAATAACAATAAATCCGGCTGGACAAGCAAACGGAATTCTTTGGCCGTGGAATTAAGCGTTCCACGGAAGGCTCTCCGCGTGGCCGACCGTAATTTCCCGCGAGGATAGTTAGGATGTTTCCCGGGCGTGTGAGGAAAGCCGGGATACACTCAAAAGTTCTTCCACTGAAATCGTGATTTTTCTGACGGGAGCAGTTCGAGGGCTCTCCATCTCGTCGCCGGCGACCATAAACCATTTGGAAACACGCGTCTAGATGCGGCTGCTCCCGATGCAACGGATTAAGACCGCCGCGAACGTAGCGCGTAAATCTCGGAAACGTTCCCCGAGAACTGTGCTCGTCGAATATCCGGAAGTTCGGTCGTTTGGTTCACCGTCGGGCCTCGTTTACGTTCGCGAAATACATCGCGCGTTATTTTCTGTTCTTTCCGACGACGTGAACCCTTTGTTATTTATCTGTAGGATTGTAAAATTACTCGAATTATAATGGGAATGATCGTCGACTGTTTTCGTTTCTACGTAATTTTGGGAGAATATGTTTATAAATTATTCGAACTGAAAAATGGAACGTACAAATATATTCTCATAAAAAAAGCAAAAAGAGTCGACAATTATTCCCGTTATTATACGAATAATTTTACGATCTCTATTCGAATAATTTGCAAATATATTCCTATTATTGTTCACATAATTTGACATTAACCGCGGGTGATGTTCGCGTTAAATTCGGAGTAGGAATATAGGGTGTTCCTTAATTATGTTAACATCTGGAATAGGGTGATTCCTGAGGTCATTTGAAGTAACTTCTTCCTTTGCGAAAATGCAATTCGTGGCTTCGTTTACGAGTTATTAACGAAAAACACTGACCAATGAGAAGCGAGCACGCTCAGCGCTAGACGGCCGAGCCAATCAGCAGAACTGGGCTCGGAGGCTCGGAGGCGCTCGTTGGCTCGGCCGCCTCACGCTGGCCGAGCTCGCTTCTCATTGGTCAGTGTTTTTCGTTAATAACTCGTAAACGAAGCCACGAATTGCATTTTCGCAAAGGAAAAAGTTACTTCAAATGACCTCAGGAATCACCCCATTCCGGATGTTAACATAATTATGGAACACCCCGTATTTCTACCCTGAATTTAACGCGAACATCACCCACGGGAGTCGGCCGACTCGTGGAACAATTCTTGAGCCCTGTCTCAGCCCCTGTTTTCGAGCTACGCTGTTGGAGAGGCTGTCTCTCCGTTTTACCCGGCATCCTGCAGTGCCTGATTTAAGTAATTAAGCGCCATACATCCGGCTCTCTTGATAACTAGGTTGCTGATTAGCCGAGACCCGGGGAGATGACTTCAGAAACGTTCCATCAGGGATCCAGAGCCTGACGTCGCGAGGGTGGGATATTGAACAGGTGATTCCGGCGTGTTGAAAAGAAGCCGCCTCGTCATCCCGCATCCTAATTGATTTTCTTACGGAGCCGGTGGAATGGCTGGCCGTTTCCACTTGCACAGGTAATCGGGAATATTGGCGGTAAGAATCTGCTATTGATGGCAATGTAATGGAATTTCGACGGAAATTCGTACGGTGCTTGGCAAGTAATGTGATTGCCAAAGTTTCGGGCAAGTAGAAACAGTTAGCGATGATCATCCATGGGAGCTGAGAGTTGCTGGGACGATAGATATTGAAGATTCGGAGTCGCTTTCGATGGTAATATAATCGCAGTTAGTGGGGAACTGTGAGACAGGTAGTTAACAAATGAGGAAGTCATGATCGTAGTGTAGTCGCATTTTCCTCGTTGCGATGAACAAGGAGCGTTATTGTTTATTATTATGTGTATTGTTTATTAATACATGTATTCCTCGATATTATTCGAATAATATTCTTTATTCGAAATATTATTCGAATAATATTCTTTATTCGAAATATTATTCGAATAATGTTCTTTATTCGAAATATTATTCGATTAATATTCTTTATTTGAAATATTAGTCGAATAATATTCTTTATTCGAAATATTATTCGAATAATATTCTTTATTCGAAATATTATTCGAATAATATTCTTTTTTATTCGAAATATTATTCGAATAAAAATTTATTTGAATAAGATTTCATTGATTTAACATATTTGTAAATAATTTACTAAATTCGAAATGCTATTCAGATAAAATTTTATTCGAAATGTTATTCGAATAAAATTTTATTCGAATTATACTTTGAATGAAAATGTATTCGAATTATTATTTTAATGAAATTTTATTCAAATTATTATTCAAAGAATTTATTCGAATTATTATTCGTATAAAATTTGATTCGAATTATTTTTCGAATAAAACTTCACTCAAAATTACTATTCAAATAAAACTTTCTTCGAAGGATTCATTCGAATAATGACCAACTCCGTTCCATGTAAGTAGAAACAGAGAGGAATGGTCAGGCAGGGAGGACAAAGTCATATGCGCATTGGTTTCTCAAAATTATTGTTGTTGATACTTCGAAATAAATTAACGCACAGAATTTATTAAGATAACAGAGAACACATTTTCACATTATTATCGTAACTCTAACATTGAATTCAAAAAATGCCTCGATCATCAACAGCCACGTTCCTGCGCCGGGACACACGAGTGCAAAGCGTTAAAGTCTAGAACAGATGCGATAAGAAAAATTAGATAATTGCCTCTATAAAATGGCGCTCGTAACCGAATCGACCCGCGCGGCAACCGAATACTTTTACGATATCGCGAAGGATGGTAAAAGGCTGCCGGAGAATTCCTAGCGACGCGTTCTTCCACGGGCGTTTCACGCTCGTTGCCCTCGGCCGTCTGGAAACCCGACGGAACGGTCGCGAACGTCGGGACGCGGCCGATGCTCGTCGACGGCCGCGTATATCGCGTGTACCATCCTGCTAGCACACGTACGCGCCGTTATCGCGTGCTTTTCAACTCCAACCAGCTCGCGCGGGTGCTCGGAGCGCGCGTACTCTTCGCCAGCAGTTCGCGACGCGATGCGCCCTTATCGGTGGCCTCGAGCAACAGGAATATTTTTACGCTCCCGTGCAAATCCTTTCCGAAAGTAATCAGTAATTAAATTGGCCGACTTTATAGCGCGACACGAGCCGGCGAAACGGAGACTCCGCATTTTTACTTGCGCGTTGTCGCGTCTGGCCACGAACTACGGCGCTTGGATTTCACGACGCGGTTTCGTATCGTAATAATTGTTCGAATAAATAATTATTCATGCGATGCAGACAGTAATGGAAATAGAAAGAAATGGGAATCGAAATGGAAACAGAAATAGAGAAAAGTAATCTGATTAATGATTCACGATTATAAGTCGTCTGTTATTGTAAGTAATTTATAGCAATTTATAATAACTGAGCAAAAAGTAGTCACATTAATGATTCACGACTACAACTTGTTTGTTATTATAACTAATTTATAGTAATTTATAATAACTGAGCAAAAAGTAGTCACATTAATGATTAACTCGTTGGTTATTATAACTAATTTATAGTAATTTATAATAAGTGAGCAAAAAGTATTTACATTAATGATTAACTGTTATAACTTTTTCAGTTATTATTATT